TTTATTTCAGATTTTTCCCTCATGATCTAAGGTTGTTTTGCACTTTCCATGCTTTGTTTTGACCGGGCTCTTCCTTATTTGGACGTAAATTGGTCTTCGCGATCTGCCGAAGTGCGGATCTCGGTTCCGACGGCCGGTTCCCTGCGCATCGCCACCCTCACGTGTCATTACACATGATGCGGATTCCTATATTCCCGTCATGGGTATAACTTCACAACGGCTGGACCGTTTGGGCTGAGAATTTGCATAGCTATAGTTTCCTATTTTTCATACTTTCCGTGTAAATTTCGTTGTATGTTTTAATTATGGATCCTACGCAATCATCGTCTTGTCCCTGAGCTCGGACTTTTGATGTCACTATTTCCGTTATTGGATTTCTCATTAACGCATGATCCTTTTATTATGGAAATTTGGGAGGATTAAGAGTAGATCCCTTCCTTTCTAATGGGCTATCAAGCTTGTCTCGGTCGTTACTAGTTAATCTTCGCGCTTGCTTTTTAGACATTGACCTCGTTTTGCAGGAGTTTTAGTCATATCTCCGTCGTTTATGGGTAGTTTCCCCTGTAATTACTCTCATTGGTTCCGTTTGGGAAACATCTACATTTCCTATTATAAACACGACTTTGACTTTTGCATTAGTTCCTGAGGAATCTTTGTTCTGTGGTACTTCCATCCTTGCTACGTGTGCGGACGTGGGAAAGTAGTTTCCGTGGAGGTTCTCTGATTATTTTTATAGTCAAATCTTGGTCGATTGTCCTAATTCTTGGTTTAATATTTGCTATAAATTCCCCCGAGAATTCCGTCTCGTTGATGGTAAGCTTGAAGTATTTTTGTTATTTTTCTTTCTTTCGATTTATCGTGTATAGTCATAATAATTCGTAAAAATTCGTAAAATTCGTTAAAATTCAGGTTCTTCTATGTTCTCATATCTACTTGTCGTATGAGGTTTTGTGATCTATCTGGCATATTTCCATAATGGGTTTCCATAGTGTGGCCGTTATTTCTCCTACAGCGCGCTCCAACAGGCTTCTGCCACAATCTCCAACCCCGACTCAGACAGAAACCATCCATCTTCAGTCCATCTCCTGACAGTAGTTCCGACTCTGACAGTCTTCCTGACTCTGACAATATTCCAGTCTCTGACAGTAAGCTCTGCAACCTCTGAGCTCCACGGATCATACTTGGCACTTTCTGTCATATCCATCCCTGGCCATCGACTTCTGGTCCCTCCGATCCCTCCGGTCTACCCCCGCTCCTTCTTCACTAACCTCGGAGCTCCCGTATTCCACAATCCCCTCGGTACCCCTCGATGGTCACCACCCCCTCCTTTCAATTTATTACCTACGCCTCCCTAAGTACGGAGCCCCGAGGACTTCCGGACAGCTCCGATGTCCGCTAGCGCACTCCTGCCTCCGCTGGGCAATACACTTGCCTGCCCTGCAGAGCCCACCTTCGGGCCTATCCCTCCTTTCCGTTAACCCCGTGACCCGACTTGTCGGTAATATTCAGTCGGCTAATGTTTAACCCCGTTAGCTCCGCTCCATTCAGCTCCGCCATTTGCGGACCCGTCTTCGCTGTAACCATATATATATCCAACTTGTACATAGGTTACACTCCAGTAATAAAATCAACTAGAGTTACCCCCCTTTGGTTCTGATTGCCAGTCAGTAAGTTAGGGCACGGACGTGTCACTAGGCACAGCGCTCTTGGCATAAGTTGCTGAGGCCAAAGCCCTCCGTCACGGAGACTCTCCCTCATCTCGAATCTGGTCTCTGACACCCTAGAGACTTCCTGCTCACTGCCTCTGAAATTAAGGACCAAATGGACAAACAGCAATGGCACAGCGCTCCACATGAGTCACTGAGGCCAAGGTCCCTCCTTGCTAAGTCTCCGGTTCCCCTCTGGAAATGTCCACCCTTGCCCAGTTCTAACACTTGTGGGGGAAACTCTCCACAACAACTCCTTTCTCCACTGACCTCGATCCTATAACTCCAGGAAATTCTCTGGAAATTCTGCAAGGTCCGGGCTCAGTGTCCACTTGTTAGACACAGGTCCGGGGTTGGCACCGAGGGTCACCGTTGTGGGCCGCTATAGGCCGTGATGGCTGTGATGCTGTGAACAAGGCCCAAGGGTAGGGCATTTGGCCTCAGCGACTCTAAAGGAGCACTGTGCCCCCTAGCTGTCTCTTGGCCCTCATTTCAGACTCACTGGGGTTGCCTTGCTGGGGTCAGGACTTGGGGAGTCATGGTCAAATTGATATTAGAGCTAAAGTACTATAATGTATCATACAGGATATATATAGGAAGGGGAAATGAATAGAAGCGGACCCGGGCCGAAGGCCGAAGGGTCCGGAAGCAAAAGGGAACAAAGAGCGGGGTTGGCCACACAGCGGCCAGCAATGGCCGAGGGTCAAAACAAACAATAACAGATAAATAAACGAAGGGGTGTAGGGCTGCAGTAGCGGTGTAGGAGGGACGAGCCAGTAGTACCCAAACAGCACTATATAATGGTCTACAGATGTTACCTGGGACCCGACACACAATCCCCTAGCCCCACAAAGCCCGTTGCACTTCTCCCATTATCTCTGTATTTTTTTGATATTTTTCCAGACCAGGTTACGACCACTTAGTTTCCATATCGGGCCGCTTTGACAGTATTTTCACTATAACTCCCCCAGTTCTTCTTCGATCCAGACACATTTCATATCGTTAGAAAGCTGCCGTCGAGATGAGTCGAACAAGTCCAGTATCGGGAGATTTGGTGCAGCCGTTGTGGAGATCGTCGAAGTCTATCGATTGTGTGGCCACACCCATATATTTTTTATGTTTTCTGTTGTTTTCTTTGTTCTATGTTGTTCTGTCCGTTTCTATCCGTCCCTAACACCGTCGGATTGCTCGGACATTAGCTTCGGTTATATACAAGCATGTATCTAGTATGAAAAGAGATCTTCTCCTCCTTCCCTGCTTAAGTGCCAGTCCAACAGTACTGCATCTGGGAGCGTGTGAACGAGTTCAGTTAGGTTTAGGGCGACGTTGAGAAGGCAGGACGCCTTGCTTGGCCCTAGGGAAGGTCCACCAGTTGGTTTAGTTGGTTTTTCACGGAAGTTAAGTTTTCCGGACCTAGTGTCAGAGACTGGATTGAGACGAAGGATTGTCTCTGTGGCAGAGGGCTTCGGCCTCAGCGACTCAAGCCAGGAGCACTGTGCCAAGTTACACATCTGTGCCCTAATTTACTTACTGGCAACGAGAACTAAGGGGGATCAACTCTAGTCGATTTTATTCCCGCTACTCTGTAGTGGGTCCTATGAATCTTTGCAACACGAAAAGCCTATAGCCGTGCAAGAGGTCCTTTATCATTGCCAATACCTCAGGTTTCCAATTCATTTTCCCTAGGTTACCAGGGTCCTCATTCGCAGCCTCCACTCTCGTGTCCCGCCTCCCAAACCTACAGTACTATCACGTTCAACTTTTCCTTTCTTGGTTCGTATCCCCCTCAATTCCATCGCCTCTGACTTTCGCCCCCAAATCTTCAAATCCCCAAATCCCCAATGACCGCGTCTTCTGTTCGTTGGCCCTTTTCCTTCTTATCTACCTGTCATGGCCATGCATTCCGGCCCGTTAGCCGCCCGTCCCGATGCCGCCCGAGCCCGTTCTCGCTATGCGAGCGTGAGCGCAAGCCCCAACCTCAGCCCTATCCTCCCTGAGGACTCCCTGCTCACTCCCTTGCTTTCCCCTAGGCTCCCCTACACTTGGCCGACTCCCCCACAGCCACACCGACCTCCCTGCCCCAAGTCCGCCTCTGGTACCGACCTAGCGTGACTCCGCAACATCGCCTACTCCGCTATGATACCATCGCCGCTACTGCGGCCCTACACCCCTTCGTTTATTTATCTGTTATTGTTTGTTTTGACCCTCGGTCATTGCCGGCCGCGGTGCGGCCAACCCCGCTCTTTGTTCCTATTTGCTTCCGGACCCTTCGGCCTTCGGCCCGGGTCCGCTTCTATTCATTCCACCTTCATATATATATCCTGTATACTACATTATAGTACCTTAGCTCTAATATCGACTTGACCACGACCCCAAGCCCTGACCCCAACAAGGCAGCCCCAGTAAGTTCGAAATGAGGGCCAAGAGACAACTAGGGGGCACAGCACTCCCTTTAGAGTTGCTGAGGCCAAATGCCCTACCCTCGGGCCTTGTCTGAGGCATCGGCGACCTTCGGTGCCCGACCCCGGACCAGTGTCTAACACTACCGATCCTCCATTTTCTGAGTCCACTGTTGTGATCGATGCTATCGAACATGGAATATATGATGACTCTTTACCGATCAACGACGCTATTTTACAACTTCTACGTCACATTGTCAATGGGGAATGCTACCACAGTCCCGTCTCCGCTTGCATCAATGTGTCATCCCAATGGGCTGACTGCGATGTTTATTTAGGGCGCGTGTTTGATTTTTTGCATTCCAACTCTGTGTCATACAATGTTTTGAAGCTTGTATGTAGCGCTTTGGGCGTTGTACCTGGCAATCAATATCGTGGGGCTCAAGTGGACTGCCTACAAATTATACAACATTTCATTTCCATACAGTCTCGATTCCCTGATCGATTGAGTGTACTGCGCTCATTTGAATGATTGTCCCGTGTTGATCTACTTGCCCTGTGTTGCTTCCATCGTGTAACGTATGATCACAATTTACAATCATTGACTCGAGAACAGTTGCAAACTGGTTTGTTTGCTCATTTAATCTGTGACATTACTTGCGACTTTGGAGTAACTGAATTTCGCTACCTTTGCTATTCAGAACCTGCCAGCGCTGATGTACAACTGGTTAATCGTGCAGCCCTAATTCACTGGATCGCGAGTGTTGATGTCCGGGATTGTATTCTCCGCCGACTCCTGAACCATTGGAAGTTGCCTTTCAATTCATCTGCAAACATGTCCTCCATGCGCAGATTGTTACTCCAACATGCAGCCAACTGTGTGGCCCCTTCAACTATGACAGCCAAGGCTCAGTATGCTGAGTGGAAACATTCATGCGCTACACAATGGCCTGAAAAGCTGTCACCCATTGCAAAGAAGCGCTTGTTGACGGATTTTTATTCTACACTGGGCCCCAACCGCCTTTCCTCCTTGGTGTGTGCCATATGTAGTGCAGCAAAGCTTAAAGTGGCTATGCTTACGGACCCTGTGGATTTGCACTCATATGATATCTCTCCCCTTCGACGTGAATATCCACCCACTGCCCCTCACCCTTTTCCCAACATTCCATTTCTGCGTGACATTATGCTATCCCCAGAAGGTGTAGTCCTCATATCGGACTCTTCAGTAATGATTCACATTTGCAAAGATTGTCATCGAAGTTTACAGCGAAAGCGACTGCCTAACACTGCGATAGCCAATGATTTATTTTTCGGGCCAATTCCATCCCAACTTGCCGATCTCACTTTGATCAAGGAAGCTCTGATAGCCAGGCGTCGTGCAAAAAGCTGGATAATTCACTTGCGTGATGACTCTTCTTCTTCCCATACCACTGGAGCTGCCTTCTCATCTGTGAGCCCAGTCTCTCAACGTGCACTGAAAGGACACATCATTGTATTTCCTGCTACACCTGAAGCACTTGCACCCTTTTTGCCACCACCATTGGAAGATGTGGTGGGGCGCTCCCCCTAGAGCTTCCTCTAGGGTATTTCTCGCATGTATCGCTGCAAGTCTCTTTCTCTCTGAGTTTTTACTCAGGGTACTGCTTAGTAGCAGTTCTTCATATTCCTTGATTCTGTCGGGGATAATATCTTCTGCATTTTTGTCCAGATGGATGTCCGCCGACACATAGTCGTCGAAATGCAGATCCTCATCCGTTGACAAGTCGTAGTACTGTGAGAGTGCATCTGCCACTTTGTTCTTGTGGCCTTCCACATATTTTATTTCGCAATTGAAGCTTGCGAAAAGGCTTGCCATCTCAGGTGTCTACCTGAGTTGTGGTTTTTTGCTTTGAAATATTCCAAAGCTTTGTGGTCCGTGATTACTGTGAATTCATGGCCTCCCATGAGATCGTCTTGCCATCTCATGAGTGCCTCAAGGACACCCAGTGCCTCGAGCTCGTAGGTGAAGTACCTATGTTGTGTGTTGGTGAACTTTTTGGACATGAATGCGGCCGGGTGGCAAGTCTGCCACTTTTCGCCTTGTCCAATTAATGTGCCCATGCCTGCTGGGCATGCGTCTGTTATGACCCAGATGTGGAGTTTGGTCCTCTCTTCTTCTGGGAGGCTTTCCAGTGGATTCCACTGGACGGGCTTCAGGATCGGAGCCCTGCATGCTAGACATTTAATCTCATCAAAGCATTTCTGGTGGAGTGGTGTCCACCTGAATGTCTGCTTGTTTGTCAGGGATCGGCCCCTGGCCCTGCTGTCAGGGCACCCAACCACACCCCAGAACCACCTTCCCAGACTTCCCCCACTTCCCAGACCTCCCCATCACTACATATCTCTCACAACTTCAGCCCGCATGTGAGCCCGCAGGAAAAATCACGTGGGTCAAGGCGAGCAACTCGCCTTAACCCATGTGACACCCTTTCCGAGTTGCTGGAACATGCTCGGCTTCTACCTGGAGTCACGTTATGAACTGTACAGTACACTTCCCTTTTATAGTAGCCAAGCGGGGAATAGGGAAACTTACCCTTCTTCTCAACTCAATCCCCGCTTAGTCCCTTCAGTGAGTTTGAGGAGCTGAGGACAGGGTCTAGCGCCCAACCACCCGGAACACCGCACACACCCAGGCCTGAGGTCGGGCTGTCCCTGATCGAGGACTGAGCCCTGACATTGTTTGAGCAGATTGTTTGCAGTGGTCCTGTGTAGCCACTGACGTTTGGCATGAATATCGATAGATATTCTACCATTCCCAGGAATCTTAGGACTCCTGTGTGGTCTACTGGCTCTCGCCAGTTGCGGATTTTTTCTATTTTATCCGCTTGAGCGTGGATGCCCTGTTCGTCCACACGGCTTCCTAGAACGTCTAGGATTGGGGCAAATGGCTGGAATTTTTTCCGGCTTATGTAGAATTTCGCCCCCTTTAGGCGAGTGAACAACCACAATAATGCTTTATTGTGGTTCTCCACAGAGCTTGTGCTGGTGAATATATCGTCGAACCAGACGTGTAGGCGTCTGCCTACTTCTCCTCATAGTTCCCAGGTCAGTGCACGCTGGAAGGTGCTGTCAAAAACCCGGGATCATAGGGGTAAATGCGTGAGTCCGGATGCAGGCGGGGCTCAACTAGAGGGGGATCCGAGAGCTCCAGTAGTGGGCCAAAGCTTCTCCAGGAAGCCCAGTTCTGCTGGATGGTACAAGAGGCTCTAAGAAGGATGCGGCCTCAGCAACTCGGAGGGAGCGCTGTGCCTCCGTTATGTCTCAGTTAGTCCTTGTATTTCTTATGTCTGAGGTATCTTGTAGAACGGGAATGGGATTCACTCAGAGGGACTTTGGGTAACATTTTAGTCAAGATTAGAACTGAGGGACTACAGGTTCTAATCTACAGGTATTTATAAAGGGGAATGGAAAGGACTTAGTCAAAGTCCGAATGACAATGGGACAACACTGAAAGGTGCCAAATGATACTGAGAGGTACCAAAAGGTCCCGAACGATATCTTTAACGGGGAACTGAGGTGTCGGAACAAGGAAGGCAGAGTAAGTGGCCGGAAAATGAATGGGAACGAGAAATGGGTAAGGGGGGTTAGCCGACTGAATGATAAGAAGAAGATAGTCGTGCTAAGAATGGAAGGTGACTAATAAGTGATGATGTGAGTGAGATCACCGAAGGATGTGGGTAACTCCGAAAGCGGAGTTGCATATCCGAAGGATGTTGGGTGACTCAAATAAATGAAATGGGTGGAGAAATGGTTTAAGGGTATGTCATGGGATGTCGGAGGTCCGTCGGGGTCTCGGAGCAAATCCGGAGTCTCCAAATGTTCTGACTCGGGACCGAGCTTCCGGGATGGGAGTGGCCAAGGTTCGGTGTGCCACAACCAGACCGGAGCTGAGACAGTCAGGAGGGAAGGTGACTTGGGGAGTGGGGAGGCATGGTGTAGGGGATGGTGAAGTTGTTAGGAAGGTGTGGTGTGGTGGGAGTGCACGGGGTCGGGATTCTGGGATATGACAGGTGCAGGGTGTGTTGCAGTCTCCTTGCTGCATCGTGTTCGAGTTGTATGTCCCGTGGGGTGTAGAGAATGTCATCCTATGGACGTCGTCTGGATCCACACATATTTGTTTGTATGCGTCCGACATATCGATCTTGGATCGGTATGTTGCTCTGGCGACTGATTCTTGGATCAGTTGCATGTCTGGCATTGGTGTGACGTCGAGGATCGTGTTTGAGTTATGATTCCTTGCATCTATTACCGTGCACAAAGATCCATCTGCTTTGCAGATACACAGTAGCGGGCATGCTCGCTTGCTGTTCGCGGGATACCACCATCCTGCTTTTACATAGCGATCTATTTTGGTCACTAGTGCTTCCTGCAGTGCTGCAGGACATCTCAGGGTGTTTCCCCGAAATTTCTTGTTCAGATCCTTCAACGGGATTCTGTCATATCCATACAATCCCGACCTCCGCCCCGGGCTCCCGGAACTCCGAATTCCGACTTCCGGAGCCCTACTTCCCTTCCATCACCTTCTCCCTGCCGACTCCCAAGAGGTTATCCCACCTCCGGCTCCAGCACCACCTTCAGTCCGACTCTGGAACATTCCAGGTCTGACCCCAACCTCGACACCTTCCAGACGAGTATGCAAAACCTATGCTCCCGACTCCAGACCTCCGCTCCGGAATCCCATTTGCGTCTCCATCTCCGGAACCTCCGGTCTTAGCTCCGACCTCGGACTTTGACCCCACCTCCGCTTATACCCATTGTATTGGTTAGCTCATTCCATTTAATTATGTTTGCCAATATTCCGGAGTTTAACTTCCGAGTTCGGACTTTCCGGACTTATGTCGGACCTTGCAACTATTGCATTGCTCCATTCAGTTCCGCTATTCTCCCTCATTCCTATTTGGGCTACTGCTTCCTTTCTATTCAGTCAGCTAGCCATTCCCCACTCCCAACCTCCTTCCTTCCTCCTTGGGCCTTGGCCCTTCACTCCTCCTTTGGGAGACACCATTGAGTCAAACCCTTGACCCTCGGTGTTGTTCCTCTTTCCAGCTCCCTTTGTCTCCTTTCGGAGTACCCTCGCTCCTTTTGATTCCGGACCCCTCCTTATATACAATGTACATAGTAACTTGTAACCTCAGTCCGAAATCGACCAGAATTCCCCCCAAGAGACTTTCCCTCTGCTAGATCCGAAATTAGGGACCCCTAGGACAACCAGCAATGGCACAGCACTCCGCCTGAGTCGCTGAGGCCAAGGTCCTTCCGCACTAAGTCTCCGATTCCACTCCGGAGTTGTCTGAATCCGCCCAGTTCTAACAGATTCAATGGTTCACCTCCCTCAAGGGAGGCATTTCTAATGGCGCTGGCACCATTACAGTTTCGAATTTCTCTCTCCACCACTCCCTGAGTATTTCGAACTCGGGGTTGTTCATGGAGAGGCCTTCCAGATGTGGTACGTCTGGAAGTTCTAGTCCTTCCGGACTAGGATTGGGCCAACCTTCAGGGTACTTTCTTTTGATTACCCTGAGGTGTGTTTCAATCCTGCCTCCCTGTCAGGGGGGCTTCTTTTTTGGTTGTTCTCGAGCTCTTGCTTGAGTTTTCCATCCATGTGATCTCATCACACGGTCTTCGCTTATTCCAAGGGTGTCTATGTTGCCCTTGTTCACCGTTCTCACTTTGTGGGACCGGAAGTCTAAGCTTGCCTGGTTTTTGTTTAACCAGGGGGCGCCGAATATGGCGTCATATCTATCGATGTTAATTACATCGAAGTAGTGTTTTTCTATGTGGCCATTAATCTCAACGTCCACGTTTGTTCCGAACAGGATCTGTGATCTTGTTCCTTTCGTCCCATTTGAAGGACGACTGGGTTCTCCAATTGGAGAATTGGGATGTGGACCGCGTGGACAAAGTCCGGCAATAAAGCGTCCGTTTCAGCTCCACTATCGAATAGCGCATAGGCTTTTATGCCTGCTATTTTTATGTGAGCCGTCAGCGTTCTCTTTGTTGAGAGCGGTGAAGGAGCGGAGCTGGATCACCTTATGTAACCAGTTTCCTATGTCCAATAACGATATTAGAGTTTGTGCTGATTTGCGTACTGACCGTGTTTTGGTTGCCAAATATATGATTGTTCACTGTCTAAACAACAATAAACACCCCCCAACGATCTCACCTGACGTATAGATCGTCTATGGATAAAATTCTATATTGACTTTACTATGATTTCTAGTCAATATTACACCTATATTTACCACTTTTCAGTAGGACGTGATTTTCCTGATAATTTACTGAAGGAAAACTGCTAATAAAATAATTCCGCAATAAATGTTACTCAATACAGGAGTGACCAAACTGCTCTTTCTATCGCTTAGAGTGCGTGCTAGTTATCTAGCAGGTTCAGGATCGCTCACTTTTCTCCTGTGGTGTGATAACCAAAAATTGCTGAGAGATTATTCAATTAAGAAGTCCCTCCACCAAATTCTCACTAATTCTCACTATGACACTTTTGTTCAGCTGTGTCTAACTGACCCTAACTCACGC